TCTCTCTCTCTCTCTCTCTCTCTCTCTCTCTCTCTCTCTCTCTTTTCATAATTAAATAATAATAATAATAATAATAATATACATTATTTAATAATTATTGATTAAAAAAATTTAAATATTTATATTTTATTAAAACTATAAAAAAAATTTGATCTAATTTTTTAACTCAAAATCGAGTCTTCGTAAAATTATAATCTTTCACTTTCTATGAGCCTAATTGTGAGATTGCTATCTACTATATATTTGTCATTATAGCTGCAACCATCTTATTTCCTACCATATATTTGTCATTATAGCCCCACGTAATGAGGCCTTAGGCCTCTATTTATAGCCTCAACCTTAGGATGGACGACCAAGATATCTCCTAGGGTGAATTAAGAGAGATGTGAGCTCTGTTGGTCATGTTTTGGGTCAAGGGGAGACTTTGATATGTTTAAATGCTTAATTTTGACCAAATTAAAGTCAATTTGACCAAGTCAACTATTGACTAGGTCAACATGGTCAATCAAGCCTGAATTAATTTGGAATTGAGCTCAAGGGGATTTGGAATTGATATAAACTTATATAGGGGTGAGTTGGATTGGCCTGGTCAACTTAGGTTGACTTGGTCAACTAGGTTGACCCAGGACCTAGGTCTGGACTTAACACATTTGGTTTGACTTATTGAACCCATTAGAAGTGGTCCTAGGGTCTTGCTTGGTCAATTTGACCAAGTCAACCCTCTTGATCATAGTCAAGTGAAAAGAAAGGTCCACAATATATAGTATGAATGCATCAAAAAACATGCCAACATAATTAAAGTACTTGACTGTGCTATACAAGTGCATTATGAAATGTACAAGTGCATTATGCAAATGCATTAAAAAGTGTACATATTATTTAAAAAGAAATTTAATTTCTTACATGTGATCTCACAAAGGTGTTAATCATACAAGCAGAAATATTTGAGAATGTTGTGTAGGGTTAAAAAGTGAGTTAAACTAAAGTCCTATTTTTAAATTAAACTCTTGCATCTGCTTCCATGTATAGTGTATCCAAGAATATTATGCCGGCTAAAATTAAAGTGAATTTTGAAATTTCAAGTACAATCCTCCTCCTTGAAAGAACTAGAATCAACAAAACTTGAATTTATAAGGGAATATGCAAGCGTAAAGCATATCGAGATATTTGATTTTAGTTCACATTAATCCGTCAAAAACTCTTGAAAAAAATCATCATAAAATATAAGTTCTTGATTTCAAATTCGTATAATAATTCATGAAATCATTAGTTGAACCTGATCCTCTATTGGCAAGCAAAAGGAGTCAACAACATTTGGAGAACAAAATAAAATTATCTAAGAACCTCGACAATGGCCATATTGACAAAAAATCTTAACCAAATGGAATTGCTTAATTTTCAAAAAAAAAACCATCAAATTATGACATAGCTTATTTGGGGCTTATGTTTTGATAAAATTTTAAAAAATTCAATATTTACTAAAAACTAAATATTTAAAGTAAAATTAATCACATGAGACTTAAAGAAAAATCCATCCACCATTCACAACAATTGGTCGATGATGATAAATTTAAGTATAACCTTAGTTCGCAAAATGCAAATGTTTTGTTGAGTATATCACTATGATTCATTTTCAAACAAAATCTCACCAGTAAAGATATTGCACGTGTCCTCTAACTATTTATTTTGCTATCAAATAGCATCACATGAATGATTATAACCAAGGGCCTTTGACTGGATGGTTTTTCTCAAATGATACCACTAAATTACGATCACGACTAGAACACATGTTCCCCAAATGGCTCAAAATCAATAAGTAATGAATCATATGATAAACTTGATAGGGAACAAATAACTTTTTTTTTAGTTAAGGATAACTCAAATTTGTCTACTTAGAAAAACATTCACCCAAAGTCTTCATGATATCCTTAGGCAAAATAACCCATAGCTGCTAACAAAGATCATCAAACCATTTATTTCTTAAAATCTTATCGAAAAAGCACAATCAGGATGGGATATGAATTTTTTAAGCTAACAATTGTTAATTGTCCCCCAACACTCACCATGGTCAGACACCTAATGTCTACCAATTACTTGTGTCTGACATTTATCTTTATAATTACTCAATCTCCATTTATTTGAGTGTGATTGAGTTGATTGCTAAATATCACTTAACTTCTAATGTTCCTCATCAAACATCACCTAACACCCACTAGCAGCCAATGTCCATTGTTGTGGTTGTTCGATTTCCACTATTATAAAAGGCAATGATAATTTTAATTGCCTGACCTCAAACATTCATTGTCAACAGCCATTTGTTGCCTGCCAAATATCAATATCTATTGCCCACTATTCTCAATTACTTTGTATGGTTTTCCATATTATATGGAGAACTAATTGACCACTCGACATTGTTTAACATCCAATATTCATTGTTGATAGTATTTGATGCTTATTGATGATTAATGTACATCTTCTAGGCTTCTTAGTCTCTCCTAATTATTAATTAGAGTGCAATACTATTTATATATCATCAAAAAATTATCTTGATTAGGCACAAATCTTTAGGCAAAATCAAACCAGAAACTTCAAAAATTTAATCTGAGATCACCTGAATTCTGATTTTAAAAAACTTATAATCAAACTGAGCGTCTTGGAAATACGAACCCAACCACACCAAATTCAACCCGATCTTAGCCCAAATGAGTCTAAATCAAAGAACTGAAGCACTATTGGAAGATTCAAACCACAATTTGGATTACCAAAAGGTTTTCAAACATGATTTGCTTATAATTGAATCGAGAGGCTCGACAAGATGAATCTAACGAGCCTAAGATCGCCAAATTCTGACATCGTTTAGATCTTCAAATGTCTGACAAACGGTCCACGATCAAGGGATTCAATACGGTCGTCTATCCGAACCACTCCACCTTTGCCCCTTATCCTCCTTCTATTTATGGGTCATGCCATCCTGAAAAACAATAAATAGCCCCTTATTTCTCTTGAGAGGGGACCCAAGCAAGAAGAAGAAGAAAAGAAGGAGAAGAGAAGAAAAGAAGGGTAGGAGGGAATAAACTCCTCGACCACCGCCCGAAATTCTGCCCGACTTCCAAGTGACGCAGGAATTATGCCCGACTTCCACAGGACACCAGAATTCTGCCCAACTTCCACTGGACATCGAAATTATGCCCAAGCAACACCGAAGTTATGCCCGACGCCAAAACTCCACCTAAGTGACGCCAAAATTTTGCCCGATCTCCAAGTGACTTTGGGATTTAACCCAAATACCCAACATCGTCGAATAACAGATTATTGTTTGTAACTAAATTTCAATCCAAAAGTGAATCATCATAATCTGATCGTCCTAAATTTCAAGGACGAGTCAGCCTCTTGTATCTCAAGCAAACAATAGTGGAATTATTTCAACTGGGCAGCGCCCCATGGTTTTTTTCCTTTCCAGAGTTTTCCACGTAAAAATCCTGTTGTTTTTATTTCTCTTCTGTTTGTGTGCTAGATATCCGTACAAAGTTGAGACGAAAACTTTCAAACTCTATCGTCGCATATATTCTAGTTCGCAACAACTACTATACAGAAATTTTATATATTTTTAAAATCTTAAATTGTGTGTAGTTAAATGATATTACAATTTTATACACAAGTCTTAGCCATGCCTTTTTTAATGCTTGGACCATGTTCTCTCTGATATGTCGACATCAATGAAAGCAATTTAAAAATTGCTCATCACATGCATAGCCTAAAGGCTTCAATGGATGCCACCAACTCTAGCTGGTGGACTATTGAGTGTATCATGCCCAAATTTGAAACCAACTCTCAACTATGGCTTCCAACTATTCAAACTCAAGATAATCCACTCAAAACAAAATTTAATTCTACTTAAAAATTAACTCGTCATAGTTATTATCCTTTAGAAAGAGCTCAAATTTTTTATATTATTCATCTTTTATCATAGATTTTAAAATAACTTTTTAAGAAAATTCTAAGATTATCTTATATTTTAAAATAATATTCCAACGAAGTTTAGAAAGGAAGAAAGATTTATAAAAAAAAATTACTCTCTCTTCATAATTATATAACAATATTTATATATAATAATAATAATAATAATACACGTTAGCTAATAATTACTGATTAAAAATATTTTTTTAAAAAATAGATGTTATTAAAACTATCACAAAATTCGATCTAATTTTTTTAACTCAAAATCGAGTCTTAGTTAAATTATAATCTTTCACTTTCTATGAGCCTAACTGTGAGATTCAAACAATATATAATAGATATGTTACTTATGTTTATAGATATAAACGTAGTGGAATAAAGGCTTGATGTTGTTGTTATTATTGTTGTACTTGTTATGACTGTTAAGCAAAGTAGTTAGATCAAATCATCCTAACCATTCTAATGACTGGGGGTAAACAAATGTCTTGTACTTTAATTAGGAGAATATATATATATACTATTTATAAAATTAATGTTCTCATATCTTTATTTTCTAAATTATCACTCAAATATAAAAATTCACAATAAAATCTCAACTTATATATTTTGCTTGCCAAATTTTCAACGTTTTAATCAAAAATATAATATATTTGATAATTCAAACAATATATAATTGATATGTTACTTATGTTTATAGATAAAGAGAATCCTCAATAAAATTGATATGAAATATATGGGTATAAGAATGGCCATTTTCTCATCTCTGATTAGGAAATATTTATAACCAAGTATTTTCAGTACATTGAAATTCAAATTTTTTTAGTTCCATAGGAAAGGGATAGAGTTAAAGGTTCTCAAATCCCTACAAATCTTGTTCAACTTCCTCAGGTTGTCCAGTCACTGCTTTCTAATGCATTAGAGAATTTTTCATACTAGAAAATTATTGTAAAAGAAAAAAAGAAAACGGTATCAAATGAAGCCTAAATGATTTGGCTAAAGAAACATCACAACAATGAATTTTTTCTATTGTTAAAGCAAAAAATAAAACTGTAACAAATGAAGCCTAAATGATCTGGCTAAAGAAACATCAAAGCAATGAATTGTTAAAGGTTTTGCAACATAAGATCTTAGGAATGCTCATATTGGGCTCTTTTTCCATAATTCATCAATCTTTCTCAGTAAACTATTGTTGTTCTTTAGTGATTCATCATCCAAGTCGTCAAAGAAAAACAAGTCTGTCAGCTTACCAGATATGAAATTCTTATTAGAATCCTCAATGTTTCTGCCATCATTTCCAGATGTGAGAATTGCTGAAGCAGCTTCTGCTGCCTTTCTCCATTGATCTGCCTGAGGATTCAGTGGATGAAACAACAACTCGATGTTATGAAATCAGAAACAGGGCAGTCTGAGGATTCAAAAATGAAAAAAATGAAGTATATACCTTGAAAGAAGAAATGGCAGGCACTCTGTCCAACATTGCAAACCTTAAAATAAAGAATGGGGAGAGAGGGTTGGCAGAAGAAGCAACAAAATTTATTCTTTTCAAAACCCAGAAGCAGCTGGAAATAGCTAATACTACCATTTAATCTCTCCGTGCTAATGGTTATAATTTTTTGAAGTCCTTGAACTCTGTAAC